AGGACGCCATGGCCTTCCTGCTGGGCGCCAACGCAAACGTCGTGGCCATCGACAACCGCGGCTGGTCGCCCGTGCACGTGGCCGTGCGGCACGGCCAGGTCAAGGCCCTCAACATGCTGTATGAGCAGGGCGCCTTCATGGACCAGGAGGCCCTGTGCGGCACCACGCCCCTGCACCTCGCCGCCGAGGCGGGCCACCAGGAGATGGTGCGCTACCTGGTGGAGTGCGGCGCGGACGTCAACCACGCGGACAAGCAGGTGCGACCTCCGTCCGCGCATCAATACAAACACGCATTAAAAGCCGTCCCAGCGTTTGGCAGTTGCTGTTCACTTTAACGCTCCAGCAATTCATATCATAAGTCTGTTACTCACAATCTAAAATTGTGAAGTGTGTTGACTTCCGTCAGTTCATGCTCCATACCACTGGCTCTGCTGCCTATTTTGAAATGTTTTTGTACATAGGTTTCGCCGATGACGTCCGATTTGAGAATTCGTTGGAGATATAATTATTAATGTGTCCTTATTTTCTACTGGATGATGCGGTCACAACTGAAGCACGAAACGTTGCGTACCATTACATTACCACAAGCACGTACATTAAGTTGGCGATTTAATGTAAAAGGTTTTAGATATTTGATTGCCTTTAATTCCACTCCTCATTTTACACTATTCACAAGGAACTTTTCCATCCGTCCAGGAATCCATTTACCCGCAGGGTGAGCTAACGCCGCGATGAGGCTCCCGCGATGTGCTCAGGGCCGGCGGCCGGTGCACCTGGCGGCGGCGCGGGGGCTGGCTGACACCACCAACTACCTGGTGGCGCTGGGCGCCGACACGCGCCTGCCCGACTCGCAGGGCGGCGACCGCCGCGGCGACCCCGACCCCGCCGACGTGGACGTCGACTCACTCATCGACTTGTTGAACCCGGAGTTCGATCGCGAATTCGATCACAACGGGAACCCCAACAGCGGCTCCTGAGCGCCAATGGATGTACACTTCACTGTACATGTCTCAGTCTCGCATCTCATGATATAAAACTCCACATCAGGCATTCTTCATCTCCTTTTCATTGCACGAGTAGTCCAAAAACAGAAAACTAACTACCGGCTTATGATAAGCACTACGTGACGATACGTTGCCAGATGCTTTTCGTATCACATACGTGACTATACCACTTTCTTAACATGTTTAAAAAAATTTACAAATACAAAGAATAAATAAAAATGATTGTTAAATTCATATTTGACCTAACGAGTGCATTTCAGAATGGTATTATAAATGTATTAGCTCTCAAACAATTCTACTAATACAGATTCTAATACAGATTAGTCTATTATCCTAACAGAAGCGCGAAAAAGTTACTGTTAATTCTTTTGAAAATTGTCGAAATATATTAATACGTTTCATTTAATAACAACAAAGAACAATGTTATTCCGTTAATGTTTTTATTTGATTGTACAATTCACGTGCTTATTTTGCTTACTCTTGACGAGTGTTTGCGTTATTTATTGTCAGGTATTTTGAACATTCCCTTTCCATAAATGTGGAACACTTACACTATTGTTTTTCGATTTCATTGAGCGTATTGATACAGTGTTCTCATTAGGTAAAAAAGTAGTTTTGTAAAAAGTTGTAAATATCGTCAATTACCGCATATTAATTCATTTTCAAACAATATGTGTATTATACATTTTGTAATAAACACTCCAATAATAATTATGAACGGCGTTCACATAACGAATCAACCGTTAACGTGCACCAATTATTTATTAATGATCAATAGCTTGGTACATAGCCATGAATTCCTTTTCTGACATTTGAAATGATGACTTAGGTCAATTTATGGTTTATGTCTATCGTCAAGAAAAGCTACATTTTCATTATTACGGCAATATTTGTCAAATAAGTGATAATTCAACTCGTTGATATTAAATACAAGCGTTGCTCAAAATATTACTCGACATTCTGCGCTCGGCTAGCGAACGGTGCACACCCCTTCCGCTGTTTATAGCTCCGCAGAACCTCGACTGTGGCCAGTGATAAGAAGTGCCCCAGCGGGGCCGTTCAAGCGAGTGACTTGTTTAAATATCTCTGTGCAGTGAAGTGCGTTTCAATAAGTGTTTATTACTAGAAATATCAGCACGAGGCGTTGCCCCCCCCCCCAACGGGCCCTCTCGGGTCAATTAGTGGGATCTTTGTTAAACGTTCAATCCAAGAATAGCAGAAAACGAGAATGCATCATTTCCTGTGATATCAGATATGGTGTCGTCAGCTCTATACGCACTTAACGACTATCATTATACGGAACCGCATCTAAGTAATGACCTACAGCAGCAACAATGAAGTCTCATAAAAAAATAGACGAAACATATGAATTTATTTCTGCATCTAAACTTTTCACTGTTCACTAGCAGTTCACAGTTTACAAGCAGTTATTCACAGATACAGTACGTCCCAACTTCTCTGCTTTCTTAGATAATGAGAGGAATCCAACAAAGCCTGAAGATTTCAATATCATTACTATTAGTATTGAAACAATTTATCAGCCAGTTAAAACATAAGGGCGAATTTGGGACGTGCGGGTGGATGCATCAAGGTGAGGAAAGCAAAAAAGCGAAAGAGGGGATGGCAAATGCACTGTCTGGTTTTTTATTATTATATTACTCATTTTAGAAATTATAAATGGAATTAATTAAACATGCTTCTGATAATTAAATTTAAAAAAATATTGGTACTACAACAGCACATACTTTCTCGCTTTACTGGAAACCGCTACGTAATATTGAAGTATTGCATTTTCTGGACTACTAACACCTCAGCCAATACTTGAAAACGTCTGGTTCGAAAACAAAGCGCCTGTGATGCATATCTGCATTCATTTCTTAATTTGATGTAACAAACAGGAATACATTTGACTGAATTCGCAGCGAATTATACAGAAGGGAGCAACTGTGTATTTGCTTGGCGAATAATATCAACCCTTTGCAAAATCGCCTATTTCCATCTCTTTTCAGATTATAATTTTTTTATCGGATAGTCGTTGTACATCATACACAGTTGATAGATATTTCTAGTACTAATAAATTAATTAAATTATTAATATTCTACGCGCCAATTTACACAATTTAGCACAATTTAGTCGCCAATTTACACAAAAAATTCTAATATGTTCAAAAAATTGAACGTGATCTTATTTTGAAGATCTATTTTCATAAACACATTTAATAAACAAATAATTTTCAAAATTGTTAATTGCTTGTGTTTCGTATACGTAAAATTACAAGAAAAATTCTCAATTTTTTGAAAATTGTATATGACTATGTTTCAACATCCATCTATAAGGAACATATTTTATTAAGGGAAAATCTCTTTCTTTAATATGTTAGTTTCAGGAAGATGCGAAAAATAATTTTGATTTTTCTTTTTTCTATTTTATATATATATTCTATATTCTATTTTTATTTTTTATTTTAACCAACATGATATCTGCGCTATTCGCTTAAAGGTCTTTTAGACTATCCACCCACAGAATTTAATTAAAAGCTTTGGCAACATTTGTTTTTAATTTTGAAAATATCTCAGGGGCTTGATGTAAACTACCCGCAAAATTAAAATATCGATTTCAAATTTAAGCGGCCCCGACATCTGCCAGATCGTTCGGGGAATATCAATTCCCCACAAGACGAGAACCCACAAAACATTTTCTAGTTACACAATTTGCTAGAAGATGTTATTTACTATTTTTAGGAAGAGGATTTGCCAACGTTTGCACTAACAGGGAGTGGCAATAAGACTTTCTGAAAAAAAAACGATTTCCGGCACACGATTACCATACTTTCTCTTCCCGTGAAGTAAAACGAGAAAATAAAAATCGTTGCGGTCACGTGCGGGACGCGTTATGTACAGTAATGGTAACGCGCACTGCATACGAAAGCCTGCTATCGATCTCTTAACAAACTTTGGAAAAGCGAAGTCACTTCGTCCAAGAACGAATAAAGGATACTTGAAACCCGCTAATATAAGCTAATATATGGGTTTAACATATTTTTTAAATATCTGAAATAATAACACACTGTCTACTGAAAACATGACATTTTAATGTTTTACAATGAAAACCAAACCTTCTGAAATACCCGTTTAAAATCATGAAAGAATTATAATAATAGCCTATGATATGTCTGCAATATTTGTGTTTTCAGAAAAACTAGGTCATTTGTTTATAATGTGTCTTATTATATACCGTATTAATGACACATTTTGTAATTCTTACTACAATTTCTTGTCTGATCTTCATCCCATTTTTAAAATTAAAACATATCCAAAACTCATTTTCTTTATTTCATGACCTTCCAACAGATTTTTTCTTAGCATAAAAAGCTTAATACCCTTGCTTCCACACCATTCATAAAACGTCTCACTCCGTGATGTCGCTGATGCAGGGACGGGAAACTAAAGAAAGCACCTCCCGCTCAAGACCTGAGAAGAGAGCGACGAAGCGCGGTTCGAACGCTTCGTGATGAAACGTGCAGAGCCCGGAAATGAAATGCCTTGCGTAACGTCCTACAACTTTGGCGAAGCTTATGCCGCATTGCAATGATATTGGGATTACTTTATACCGTTCAGATAATAAAATAATGCTAAACGTCGAGATTGTCCTAATTGCTTTTTTGTGAATCCCCCGGTAAAGAAATATAACGAGTAAAATCATCTAAACCGTAGTGTTTTATCGCTTATACGAAATATGAAAGTATATAAAAAGTATCAACTGAAGTAAATATTTCAATGAAGTTTCGTCGAAAAATACGAAATGTGCCATTATCACGCAAAGAAAAAGAGGACTGAGATAAGATTCACATACACAAATTCCACTTGTCACGACTATTTGTCTTCAATGGTACTTTCTTCCGGAACGGATCAGCCTTGCTTCTCGCTTCTCTCTCGATATCTCCTGAGTAAATTTAAAAAGCCAATTCTGTTTTTCATCACCAAACCTTCAAGTTTACATCCGCTCCTCGGGCACACGTCGTCCACGAGGGTTTCGTGAACTTCCCAAGCACAAGGCGAACGGAGCCGGTGGCGGGGGGGAGCCTTCGCGTTGGGACGCGACGTTGTTGCGCAATCGGGCGGTGGACGGGGAGGAAAGGGAGTTCAACGCTTTCCCGCTCTGGGGGTCGCACGCCCCCCCCCCTACGGCCACGCGCCCGGCGAAAGCCGCGCGATCCGCCCGCGCTCCCCGGTGCTGCCCTGTCGGCGGCCACCGCCGCCACCGCCACCGCTGCCCACCCGTGCGCCCGCCCGTCATCCCGGGCAGCAGTGCGTTGGGCGATGGCCGGGCGAGCACTCCGCTTTGGGATGCTGGTGCACGCGCTGGTCGTGGCTGCGCTCGCGGCCGCCGCAGCCGCCGGCGACGACGGCACGCGGGCCAACGCCACCGCTTCGCCCCTCTCGCAGGAAGTGTTGGACTCCATCGCCAGGTGAGGGCACGTTTGCCAACGAAACGGCCACGCGCAAAGTGAATTTTCAGTTTCTTTAATTCAAGCATTGCTTCTTGCTTCGCGCATTGCAAATCCGTGTGAGACGAATTCACTACCTACTTAGGTTTATTTTTTCTTTGATATATTTCCGGATTTTACTACTTCCATTTCGAGATCTACATTTTAATGTTTTTAAACTGCTGGTACTCTTAACTATATATTGTTAAATGAATAAAAATATGCTTTTTGAATTCGTTTGCTTCTTCAGCTTCTCGAATTTCTTATTGAATTTACCCGCCACAGCAGCTGCAGGCGTTGCCTAGCCGGCCGGCCTGCCAACCAGTGACTCCATGCAATGGCGAGCACTCTGTTTTCGGAAACTGAGGCGTGATCCGATCTTTGAAATGTTTTCTTTTCTAATTAATCTCTCACAATTTTTTTTCATTTCCTTGGCGAATTTATCTCGAGTTAAAAATATTATTGGATTACCTCTTTAAGGTTACCTGATCAACGTTTTTATTTTAGCGGACTGGAAACAAATGTTGCCGCTATTTGTAGTACTGATAGTACGTTAAAATTTGAAAGTGAAAGTCAATGGTCATTCGTTCATTTTTACTTTCTCGCCTTACTACATACTTGCGCAGTAAAGAGTGTGTTATAATGCTGCGGCAAAAATCGACGATTTTTCGTCAGAAACACTGGTATTGTAAAATCGATGCCCTGTTATCAAAATAGTCGATAAATCTTGTTCCTATATGTAGGAAATTTCTTCCTCGAACACGTCCTGCTTCTAAACGAACGATGAACGTCCTCTATCATGTTGTGGAGTAACGCTTAATAAATAACACCGGTCCATTTTCGGCGAACGCTTTGTATTTTTGATAATTACAAACACAAAATCAACATTGTTAAACTTCAATATTTATTATAAATATTTTATGCATATATTTGTTATTTTCATTAGAACGTGCTATTCAAGTTAATGTGACACTTCACCCCCGCGTAATACGTTGTAATGACTCGTTGCTAAATGTTCGAAAAATGCTAATGTCTCTAATGCACTAATTTTACGAACTGTACTTTGAAAGCAAACACAGAAGGCAGTGTTGTATTGCTATTTACGTTTCGTCAGTCATATTTTTATCTTGCATTTACATATAACATAATCTAATTTGATTTAATCGGCACTTTCTGATGAGTTATAAAGTGACTTCACTTTGCAGCCTTTGCACTTTTTAAAATGTTGGTTAGGTAACAGGCAATTCATCGTGAGTGAGCTATTCCTTACAAGTACTTCCTGTGTGTTAAACTGGTCTTCGCGTAGCCTTTCATATGTCAAGTATTGTTCATAAAAGCAAAATGAATATAATATGATATAAAAATGTAAAATATAAATAAACAGGAAGAATATTTTAAAACATTTGTAAAGATATTGTAAGCAGACAACGGAAATATGATAAATAAAGTGGATGGATCAAGTGAGAAACGAAAATGTTTTAAGAAAGATGTAAGAGAATCTAAGCTTTATAACAAGGGCGAAAATAAATGCGTTTTGGTTTGGAAGTTGTTTAGTGAAGGAGATTTTAGGAAGTTATGTGAATGGAGAGAAAGGACAAGGAGCAAGTTAATGGGTGATCTGAAAGAGATGGATTAGGAGTGTGTTAAGAGTAAAAGAAAGTGCTCAATAGAGGGAAAGGTGAGGGAGTGAAGCGAGAGTGAAAGAGCCTGTTATCTACAGCAAAAAAATTAGAAAAATGTGGTCTGTTGAAGATAGTGGAACTTAAAAGTTTCGACCTAATGCACACTAGTACAGTAGAACTTCCTTAATCCGAACACTGCAAATCCGAAATTTTGGAAAATCCGAAAAAATTTGGAATGGAGGAAAAATAAACAAAATAAATAAAATGCTTATTTGTAGTGTAAAGAAAGGATATTTTAAATAGTGCAGAACTGATCAACTAATTATTGGAACCCAAATTGTCAAAATGTATCGTTTACTGCACTGGTAACTACGGTGTACATCACATGTTTATGAAGCAGTAATTTTCACGTAGAGGAACTTTGCAAAATCTGAAATCATCTTTCGCTGTAAGAAACTGAATATGCTTGGTGATACGATGTGATCGATATGATACGTTTCCATTCTTTCACATCGCACGCTACGTTGCGTTGCCTTGTAATCCTACAGATGCATTTGCATATGTACGGTACATTTCTTCGGATAATCCGGACAGACCACACCCCAAATTAGTTCGGATTATCGGGGTTCTACTGTATTTACGAAAAATACCCAGTTTCATTATATTTGATAATCGTCTTAAGATAATTGAACCATATTTTTTTAAAAATTGAGGTAATTTACAATTTGTTCACGCATGTAAACAATGAGTAAATTTGTTGAATTACAAAATTAAATAGTTATTTAGTCAATACAAGAAATGAAGTTGTGAAAATGAAACTGCTAATAATAGAATTAATAATAATAATAATAATAATAATAATAATAATAATAATAATAATAATAATAATAATAAAAGTAACTTTTGATTGGCGCTATTACGTTCGTGAAAATTTTTTAGGCTGTTCGTTTCAGCTCATGTTAATTCATTGTAATTTCACAAATTTAAATACTCTAAATTTTCGATTTTAAGAAATGCCAATTCATAATTATGTTAATGCTATACCTAGATTAGAGTTTAGTTATTTTATGTTGCATTTTCATGCGAGATACGCGTTTCATGCACGCCATTATTTCCATTGCTACATTATGCAGTAAAATCCACAGGTTTCACCTTCCTCTAAAGATTGATATGCAAGCAAAATATGAGTAATAAAATTCAAGTTGTTATATAGCTGATAAGCATACCAGACTAGAAAGAAATAATGAAGAATTGACGATCGAACATTTTTACAGTATTCCAAAGGGTAAATTTGACATAATAATTTCCCAAAAGAAATTTTAAAAACTCACTTAAAACATGTATGGGTAAGATTCAGAGAAATAATCAAATTGTTTTTACTTACTTACTAATTGCTCTTTTTTTATATTAAATTGTCATTTTCATTGATTGATCTAGAGTAGGGCTGTCCAACTGGTAGCCCGCGTTGCCATTTTTTGAGGCCCGCGAAAGGTTATTACACAAAGGAGAAAAGTCCCTGCCTGGTCAATACTCCGTTTAATGTAAAAATAGTTTAAATAAGAGGATATTTTTTCTAATAAATTCAGAAATTCACAATTATCCCGATACATTTTACTGCGTTATACATGGAACGGTCTTACACCACCCATGGGTCCGTCCCCCACCCCGCCCCGTTTCAAAGCACCCGAGCCTAAGAATCCGGGTAAGTCAGATCGTCCGAGTAATGAAAACTGCCCACAACCACATTAAAGGAGTTCGGTTTGGCTCTTGAGGCCTCGCTGAGAGATGTTGGACACCCCTGATCTAGAGCTACAGTCCTTTGTTGGCAAAATTGTAAGTTAATGAACATCATGAAAAGTAAGAACCATTCTGAGACGGGAGGCTACACACGAAAATATGACAATTCTCTTATATGAAACAACGAACATATTAATTACAGGAAACATCGTGAACGTTTCTCATTCAAAATATCCTACTGGTAGCGTTTTCGAAAATTAAGAAAAAAAATCATGGACTCTACAGCATAAGTAAATATTCAGAAGCTATCTCTAGTCAGAAAAAAAAATAATTGAAAATTACTACGACCTACTTTTTTAGTTATGTCATATAAGGCGTCTTTCAAGGTTTCTCATTGTGGAGAAAGCCTTCCGGTCAAGGAATACTTTTCACTTTCCGACTTAAACTTGCCTGACTGAAACAAGGTGACATTATTTCCATGGTCGAGCGCGTAATGTATCATCACGTCGGTCAGTTCGTTCCGCAACAGGAATGAATGGTTGGCTGTTTCTAATATTGTCAAGTATTATAAGGTAATGGCACCGGTTGTTTATATGTCATCAGTACTTGCCACTTTCAAATACACAACAAATCATTCAACTCAAAATGATTGGCAGATTAGTACGATAGCTACTGGTTCACAATGCAGATTGCTCCTCCATACAGAAATCGTGAAAAGCGATAATTACAGGATATATATTATTACATTATATTTGTAAGTGTATATTACTGATGACATGTCAACTACCGCTCTCTTTGCCTTATTAAGATTTTTCAGATGTGCAAAAAGTCTTCAATTTATATGCATTGAGTTAGGAATCGAAATAGGTAAATCTTAATACGTTTAGGAAAGAGAATGAATATTTCAATCTGCCTTTTTTTTATCTGCAAGTTGACGAAAGGACGTTTAATGCGATCTGTTACATCAACTTCAATACAATCTTCTCTTTAATTGAGATATTTAGGAATAAAACAATGTGTGGAAGTATCCATCCAACTTATTTTTAAAGTGTACTTTTCAAACTCATGCCAAATAATTCATTTCATAGAATATTCTACAATACTCTTTTGTTATAAAAGGTTTCGTGATCTTTTCGGGAACTACCACTTTAAAGTAGTGTTTTCTGGTCTTCAAGCACAAGGGTAGATTCTGGAATGTTAATTTAAGCGTGCTTCAAAAAGACCGGACACGCACCCTTCCTTTTAGCTTCTTAATAATAAAGGCATATGTCAATTTCAAACGCCCACAAATTTACTGCGACAGCATTTCGCCCTCTGTTGGACATCACCGGAGAAATCTTAGTTCGCAAATTTCCACTGGCTGCCCGAGAATGTAGTGGTTCCTCTTTTCCCTGCAACGCGCGAGTGAAATGAGAAATGACCGCTGGCCGTCCCGTGCGGCGCGGCGCTGGCTTCCGGTGAGCTCGCCGGAGGCGCTGGTCGCGGCTGGTGGCCTGCTGGGGCCGCAACTTGGAGCCACAAGGCCACCGCCGCCGCTGCCACGGCCCCTCGACCAACTCGGAACCGGGTGACGTAACTGCGCAACGAGCCAGCGAAGGAGAAAGCGGATGGAGACAGAAGAAA